TCAGGCCCAGTTGACTTACCTGCTGCCCTTGTTAAAGATAGTGGCGACCTAATTAAGGAACTGAGTGGGTTGTTTACGAAGGTCTGAGAACTAGAGAGGGTTCCAATATCATGGAATTAGCCGATAGTTGTCATTTCTGAACTAACTACCGTGGGTTAAGTCTACTTCCGGTCGCGTCCAGATTATTGGCTTCCATCATACTTCGTAGATTGTTCGAAACCTGAGAAATATTAACTCTTGAGGAGCAGGCTGTTTTTCTTTCTGATTGAGGATGTTTTGATCATATATTCACCTTCCATCAAATGTTAGAACGCTGTCATACTTATTACACATAAACAAACCTAATGTTTTTTGACATTAGGGCGGCCTTGGATTCGTTGGACAGGGTTGTTCTTTGGGATTGTCTATTGATGGTGTGCCTGAGAAGTTGATTAACATTTTTAAAGCCATATATACTGACACTTCATACAGAGTGAGGACATACAACCACCTCTTTTCAAATTTCTCATCAAGGACATTCTGGAAACAACTCTGATGGAAGTAGTTAATAGTGGTGTGGATCTGTTACCCGAAGAAGGCTTCGACCTTGAGTATGCGGACTATATTGTCTTACTGTGTGGTGATACCCAAGCCATACAGTTCGCACTTAATCAGTTGGTAGTCAGTGTCCGTAGGTGTGGCATATGCTTTGTACCTTCCAAGTGCAAAGTACTTCTACAAGACTAAGCTTACACTCACCTTAGATAATGAGCAGGCAAAAGCAGTCGAGAAGTTCGTATATCTGGGTAGCTTGCGTAAGTGCTGTTGATGGCATTAGTGATGAGATCCATTGATGTATAGTTAAACCCGGAACAGCTTATGCGAATCTGGGCCATCCTTGGCGCCTTCGTGATGTTACTCTGGTTGTAGAAAATCGGATCTACAACGCGTCAGTGACAGCAGTTTTATTCTATGCTTGTCAGACCTGGCCTCCGAGTTGAGGATGTGAGATGACTCTGTGTTTGACCATCGTTGTCTCCGAAGGATTGCTGACACCCGGTGGCAAAACCATGTTAACAGTGCAGAAGTTCGGCATCGTGTGTTCGGGCACAGAGACGATAATCCAATTGGTGTCACCACCTTGACACATCGGCTACGATGGTTTAGTCATGTCCTACGAATGTCGTCCTAGAGAATCCCACGCCGTGCATTATTTCCCGACTCTGCAACCTATTGGAAAGAGCGAAAAGGTGGTCAGTGTATGACATGGTGTCGTGGTATGAGAGAAATATGTACAGGACTGGCTTCTCTCAGTCCTTCACGACTTCCTGGTTGGGGTCCTAGAGATGATGCAACAGTGATTAGAGACGTTATTTGACATGGTTTAAAATAGAAACCAGTGACAATCCTATTTTAACTCCCTTTTACTTTCTTCGTTAAAGTAAACGTAACTTCTTCAATTAGGATTCTGGTTGTATTTTTCCCAACTGAGCTATTTCTCCCATAGTAATAATAATTATTCACTCATACACTATTTTCTGTTCGTTGTTGTTTTTCTTTTTGTTATACGTATTGTACATTCTCTATCTCCTCACAGCCTCATTGCTACTGTGTGGCGCATATGTATTAGGTTCCTCGTTATTCCAATGTCCATGTGTCCAAATGAAATAAAAAAAATAGAAGTAGGGACATGGGTAAAAGTGTGATCTTGATTAGTTAGTTAGAGATTCAGTTTTGGTGATGAATTGAGTGATCCATGTTGTACACAATACTCTGACGTTCATTGTCTGGTGTTGTCTTGAGCTTTCTTAAAATCCTGTTCGTAGAAACAAGGATTTTTGACTTATCAAACTGTTGATTAAGACCTTTTTCTCTTCTAGTAGTGCTTGGAGTTTTAGTATACATACTGTTGCAACACTGGCAGAGAAATCCGATTCAGGGCCTCTCCGCAGAAATATTGAGTAGTAGGGGTAACATAACTAACTTGAGTGGTTGGCAGAGATCGGACTAATCCACCACTCTTTCGTAAACCGAATTAAACGGAATTCCATTTGTTGGGGCTCCTAAAAATTTTGCGGGTTACCCTATGTTTATGTATGTGAATTGCGTGGGTTTCGGCTTGTGGGGTATATATATGTGGGTATGTACAGAGCGTACACGTGTGGTTTAGCAAAGCGGACGTAAGCTGAAATGTCTGCCCTATTTCTTATAAAATCTCTGGCCTAATCCTTTAGGTCGAAGACATAATAAAAAGAGATGGCAGCAAATACTAGGGAGAGGTGACCATTAATGTTCCTTGAAAGAGTGCTTATGCCTATAGGTATATCATGAAGTGTAGGGTCGAAAGCCTTTTACCAGCGATATGCACGTAATGCGTAAGTTACCGTCACTCGTATTAAATGTTTCTAAAGGAGTGGTAACCATCTACCCTTCCAGGTGGGTAAATATACTTACATGTATGCTATGTGATGGATGAGTGAAAACTTGTATGTTACTGGTGTAGATGTAGATTATACTTACCTCTGGTGAGACATCTGCGTGCCCAGACCTAAGGGTGGGTTTATAAACCTTAGGAAACGGATACCGTTTCTAGAAAACCAGTCGGGTTCACCGGCTAAGGCTTGACCAACCTTGACACCGTACTGTGCATATTACTAATTAGACTAAAGGTAAAATATAGGACAGTTTAAAGAGGAAGTGCACAAGACGAAATTTTTGAAACAGACAAATAATGTACGTAAGTGAGTATATGCCACACAAGAATAGAACCTAAGATATACCAAAAATTGCAACGTTACCTTTGACCATCCTAGCAAGCGACTTCGCGTGTATTTAGTAATTTATTCATAAGTCCCGCGTTTGAAAGTTAATGGATTTGTGTATGTTGCATTTGAAGCAACTAGTAAGAGAACAGTTGGTCGAAACATTTTCTTCCGTCATTCTGCTTACCTGCTTTCTGCCCTCACTCCGCTTTGCACGTTCTCCCAACAGTTAAAATACCTAAGTGGAAATAGCTATTATTAAACGGTTTGCCAATGTACAAGTTCTCAGTGATAACTGTCAATTACCCCTACTCCTCAACTAGTAACGTTTGAGTTCACAGAACTTGGTTTTCATTATTTCCTATTCTAGTATTCAATCCTACTTGTTATATCCAAATTGCTTTACAGGGTTAACAATAAAGTCGCTTCGTCAGTCAAACTGGTATGGCTGTAATCTCAGATATAAGGTATGTATGAATTTGAATTACTATTGTTTTAGAAAGCCAAAGACACATAAAGGGAAAAGAGTCTTAGAGCGAAGAGCTCCTAAATTAGTAGAGAATGACAAATGCACCCTTGTCATAAAGGGTGGTCATACAAGTGACGTTGTTAATACGTTTCTCAATGATTTAGTGAGTCGTATGTATTTGTCTTTTTATTATTAGTGCGCTTTGAAAAAACCACTTGTTTATCGTTTAAAGTGGAAAAATAGAGTCCTCCCCTTCGAAGATTTATCATTTATTGTAAGTTTCTTTCATAACTGTTCTATTTTGAAGGAGAAAATGTGTAATAAGTTCGACTGCTCAATGTTTGTCGTTGGGATGCATTCCAAGAAAAGACCGCATAACATTATTTTTGGAAGGCTGCATGATGGTGAGCTACTAGATATGTTTGAACTTGGCATAAAAATGTACAAACCGATATCGGATTGTAAAGTAACTTACAGACTAGTAATACTAACTCCTCTTAAGGACAAAACTCTCATATATGGAGCTAAGCCCATGTTATTATTTTCTGGAGAGTTGTTCAACTTAGACACAAAACATATGACTTTAAAATCTTTGTTAGTAGGTACGTTGGTTGTTCTGTGTTCGGATTTTCTTAGATCTTTTCAAGGGCCCAACAGTTGAGAAGATAAGAACATTAGGTGTTGAACACCAGTTCCACTTTGTTTTGTCGTCAGACAAGAATTTATGTCTTCGCGTCCGGAAAATTACCCTGTCAACAAAAGGCAAAACAAACTCAACTGAACTCAATGTTCCACCTCTAAAGACTCCAGATGGTAAAGTAGTTCAGATTACACTTGAAGATGCTACCCCAAGTGCTGACTTTGATCTACGACGAGTATCTTTGCCGTCCGAGGTAAGTAACAAAACCCTCACATTTGATTCACTTTATATTGATTAGTTGCTTAGTAGTGACGAAAGTCACATTTGTCTAGTTCTTAGTGTTGATTGAGTTCTGTCGACTGAGTTATAATTAGTTACTAGTCGAAGTGGTTTGACATCTTGTCTGCTATGTTCTAGTAATTGTAATCTCCCTCCAACTCTACATTTAAGACACTTTTTGTTATTCTGTCTGCTTCATCCGATTTCTTCACTTAAATTAAAATCATCGTATATTTTTATTCCTCGAATTCACATATTCTCAAATTAAACTATCTATACATACTGTCTAAACTATCATTACTTTGGAGAATTTGATGATAAAACGAAGGTTATCGGGATTATGTACTTAGTTTGCGCAATGCATTTCGAACAATCTGATCATACATATACTTGTTAAAACAAAAAATTAAGGGTTAACTAGACAAATTAAAAGGTAAGGTGAAGCAAGGATACTAACAAAATACAGGATGGGAAAGCCAAACTGAATAATAAATCAGTAATAACAGGGTAGATTTAGGCTAAGAACCAATTATCTTTGTGCAGGTAAAGGGGGAAGTTTCACTACTTCATCAATTGATTTGCCATCCTTACCTAGTACCCGTTTCCTAACAACGGCGTTACTTACTCGGCGGTTATGCGAGCAATGCTTCGAAGACACCTATGATCGAATGCTAGTAACCTACGACTATCCTCTACTTTTACCGGCCATGTTTCACAGTCATAAAGTAAAACGGAACGGACTGCTGCGCAGTAAACCGGTCCTTTGGTTGGTAGACGGATACCTCGCCCATGTCACAGATGACGCAAGTTGGCAAAAGCTAGTCGAGCCTTCTGTATCCGTGCTGAGATTTCGTCACACACCAGACCACAAGGGCTGATGAGACTTCTGAGATAAGTGAAGCGGTCGACACGCTCAACTACTTCACTCCCTATCATTTGTTGGGGTGTCGGTGCAACCCAATCCTGAAGAAACATTTTGAATTTCGAGGGGGAGAATCGCATGCCGAACATAGTTGGATTGTTGCTTATAGTGGTCAGAAGACTCTGCATTTTATCAGCATCTTCACCAAATAAAACTATGTCAACAAGTGAATCTCCCGGTAAAAGTTCAACTCCTGGAAATTTAGATGAAGAAAATGTTGTCTCTGAAAGCACGTGTCAACGACAAAGTCATACAAGAATAGAGAGAGTGGACAGTCCTGACGAACACTACTGGAGGTAATCAATTCTGATGACAGTTCGCCATAAGCTCTCACTCGACCTGTTGTGTTTGAGTAGAGAGCCTTTATAAGGTTAATGTACTTCTTTGGTACTCCTTTCAGTGACAAACTGCCATAGAACCTCACGATCAACAGAGTCAAATGCCGCCTTAAGGTCGGAAAATACTACTATTGTGATGCGTCTAAATGTGTGTCTATGTTCTAGGGCCTGACGTGGTGTGAATATCTCGTCTATACAACCACGTCCAGCTGGAAAACCAGCCTGATTTTCTTTAGTCTGCTCTTCACGAGCTTTAGTTAGGCGTCGAAGTATTATTGAATCTAATATTTTAGACACTATAATTGTCAAACTGATTCCTCTGTGATTGTCACAAGAGGAATTTTGTCCTTTCTTATAGACTGGCACAATCAGTGATTGAGACCAGTTAGATGGGATTACGTTTAGTTCCCAAATTCTGCCTAGGAACTCAGTCGATCTCACTGCTAATACTGGACCACCATCCATAAAAATCTCAGGAGTAAACCCGTCAGGGCCTGCTGCTCTTCCTTGTTTCAGGTTTCCTATAACTCACTCAACTTCATAAAGAGTCGGAGAACCTGCATTAGCTTGCCATTCTGGTCGACTGGAGATCGTGGAAAACTAAAGTGTGGCTGAAGGCCAGTTGAACTGATCCCTAAAGTGTTCTGCCCATCGATCCAATCTCCTGGATTGAGAATGTATAATATGTCCATTATTCTCTGAGAGTGTTTTGCTAACAGTCGGTTTCCTTAACAAGTCTGAACAATTGTCTGCTATTACCTATTGCCGCTGCCTTTTTCGTCTCTCTTGTTTTCGCTACCCACCACTATTTGCGATTATTGCGTAGGCTTCTTATCAGCCTGCGCTTAAGCTGACTCTGCTCTTCGTTATGTTCAGAGCCAGATGGAATGAGTTCCCGAGCATCTATCAGTGCGGTAGATGCTGCTGAGATCCAATGTTGCTCCCTAACCTTACGGGTTACCATACTAGCAGATATCACTGTTGTTTCAGCAGCTTTTCGGATATTCCACGCTCCCTCAATGTGAGCATCACTTATAATGGCTGCCTAACTGTTTTTCTAGTTGTTCCTGAAATACATTCTTAGCTTGGCTATCATTAAGTAGGACCCTAGGAGGTTTCCTTGCAGCATCTTTCCTACGTCCAGTAAGACACAGACAGATACGCGCTCGCACTAGAGCATGATCTGAATCTAAGCATGTGCTCCAGAATGAGCGACAGTCTTCATTCGAGCTCCTCCATCGGTGGTTGCTATGTCAAAAGATGTTTTTTCTTATCCTTAAAGATAGTATTTACAAGAAACAGACGGTCGCCATTATCTGTTCTTTGAGCCACGACTATAAGATCCACCCAGGTGTCTTTCCCTATCGCTTAGTTTACTTACTTGAGCATTAAAGTCACCGGCCATTATTACTACATCCTAGCGCTTAGCTTTTCGGAGAAGGTCGGAGAGCTTTCTGTAAAACTCATCTTTTACATCATCTGTGCTGCAGTCAGTTGGAGAATAGGCAGAGATGACGAAGAGGCAACGACGAGTGTCACTATCTTTCCGAGTCCTCACTGTTCCGTTTAGTCGGACAGCGCACAAACGACGGTCTACTGGGATCCAGTCTAAGAGAGCTAGTTTTGCCCTAGGACTCAATGCTATACCTGCGCCGGCGAGTCCACGAGAAGCAGCATCTGGGCTTCCGGATACACGAAGCATCGATCGAGATGGTTCTTTATTTTGACATAGCGAGGTCAAATGAATGACGCTACTCGGATCCTTTACGCGCGTTTCGGAGACGCAGCACATATCAATGGCGCGGGATTCTAAAGTCTTAGCCAAGGAAGCCTGTTGTTTTATTTGGCACAGTGTTCGGACTTTGAGAGCTCCTACATGTAGTTTAGAGCGTGGTTTTAGGAGATCAAGAATAACGTTCCGCGTACTCGAATCGTTTGCCCTAGCGGTGCGAGGTGATAAAGGGATGTGAGAAGGGTGTCGCGGAAGAAAAGATAGTTATTAGGAGGTGTAGGAAGGATTTGAATGTGACCAACTTGTTCCCGTGTGTTGTCATGGGTATGAAAGCTGATATCACTTCCCGGCTGTCCATATCGTGGAAGGGTATTTCTTGAGGAACCTGAAATGGGAATTGGATTAGTGTTGGTCTCAAAGACCTGGGAGCGTGACCGCAGAGCCCACAGGCCAACTACTTGAGGCCGGTCTCGCACGGCCCTTTTGTTTTTTTAACGTGTTAGCTCCGTTCTTCAAAGGGCTTTACCGCCGGAGACGGAAATCCGTGAGGTAAGGTGAGGCGTGACATTTTTAGGGTCGACCTTTTCTAACCCCACCCCTCCTTGTGGGAAGGCAGCATCGCTGCAGATGCTGGTTGTCTGAGGGAAACACCTTACTGCTGTCACACCTCTCTACAGTCAGCAGTACGACTTCGCCCTCAGACCTTGAGTTGCTGCTTTGAGTCTTACCGTTCTCCAATCGACCTGCCTGGCATGGTAGAACCTACAGGAGCATATGTTCCAGCCAATATAGCTCGGTTTGGTCATCACGATAGGCAAGTCCGACCACCGCGTCGACGTAGCAGAAATACAACTCAGCATAGTCTATTCTTGGTATTAAGTCTCACTTTATACACTAAGAGATCAAATAAGATGTCTATACTTAGGGTTATAACTGATATCAAACTCTTTATTGTACATTAGTTAAGTAACGACAGTGGTATCAATACATTTATCGTTAATGATTAAGAATATCATCAGGCTTATAATTTACTATTGTGTTTGATATCACATTGACAATAAAGCACAACAAAAGTTCATAGATATTTCATCACATGCTTTCAATGTATAATGTACACCTTTAGATCTTTAGGTCACACTGTCTGATAATGGAGGGTAGTTGTAGAGTAGCTAAAGGCCAGCTGAACTGTTCTCTAAAATGTTCCGCCCATCGTTCTAAACGTCTGGACTGGGAGCAGACGAGAGTATTTTCTTTTCCCGAGATAGTCTCACGTACAATCGACTTAATAATTCCAGTTTCTTTTATTAGTGTGAAAAGCTGTCTGGCGTTACCTACAGTTTTTGCCTTTTCCATCTCTTTTGCTTTTGTTGCCCACCGCTGCTCACGGTCGTTCCTTAGACTTTTGGTTAAGCTATATCTGATTTGTTTTCGCTCTTTATCGTGTTCGGAGCCAGATGGGATAAGTTCACGATAATCTATCAGTGCTAAAGACTTAGTAGAAATCCACTGATTTTTCGTGACCTTTTGGTCCAAATCACTAATAGATGTCACTGCTGTTTCCACAGAATGAGCGACAATCATGTACCGACCCTCTCCAACGATGACTGATGGCAATATGGTCTATTTGAGTTCATCGTTGGTTTGGTGCAGGGGGTCGCCATGTTAGACGATGTCTCTCCTTATGCTTAAAATTTGTGTTTGCTAAAAATAAACGATTGTCTGAGCACAGTTGCAGCAGACGATCACCATTATCTGTTCGCTGTGTCGGAATACTAAAATATCTACCTAAATGCCTTTCTGTTTGGTTTAAACTACCTACTTAGACATTAAAGTCACCCCCTACGAGTACTATGTCTGAGCGTTTAGCTTTTTGAAGAAGTTCGGACTGCTTTCTGTAGAAGTCATCTTTCACTTCATCCGAGCTGCAGTCAGTGACAGCGTAGGCAGAAACAACGTATGTCTCTATCCTCCCGAATTCTTATGGAGCCGTTCCGCTGAACAACACATACACAACTATTAACGGGGATCCGTTCTAATGGTGCTTGTTCCGCCCTCATGCCTAGTGCTATGTCTACACCTGTCAGTCCACGAGAACTAGCTATTGGGTCGCCAGATAAACGGAGGGTGTATCTCGTTGGCTCTCCGTTTCACCGAGGTGAGGTCAAGTGAGTGATCACACTAGGATCCTGTATGTGTGTTTCGGAGACACAGCGTACATCAATGGTATGAGATTCTAGGGTTTTAGCCAAGGAAGCCTGCTGATATATAATTCAGCCTATACAGCTCGGTTTGGTCATCATGATAGGCAAGCCCGACCATCACGTCATTGTAGCAACTACGGTCGAGGTACTGACACAAACCAGCATCTTACCGTTTTTTTTTGTCAAACTTCTTTATTGTTTTTAAGGTGCATAGCACCATCATAGTTCTTCGTTCACATACTACTGTGCTATTTTATAACTTTAAAAGAGATATTATATCAAGTCAAATTTAGTTTTTAGAGCACTACTCCATATGATGGAATTATAATAAGATTGATATGACGGATGAATTAGAATATTTCCCTCTCTGCGATATACTGCCCTAGTACGATTATAAGACTGGATTGGATATTCGAACGATCCGCTCTACACAAACCAGATCACGTTATATCAGACACCTGATTCAAGACCAAAATAGAAAACCAGAGTAATACCAGAGGATACTTAATCCGGCCTAATTACAAGCAGTCGCCCTTAGTGAACGAAGGAAATCACATACTTAATAGTAAGTAAGCTTGTCGAGAAATATAGGAGTTTTCAAACCTAACCTAGGTTTGCTATGGTTCATTTGAGCTACTGATTCATGTTGATGTCATCTATTATCATAAATAGGAAAATTTCCACACAGTCGTAACCGAATCTATAACAAATTCATAGTATTCGACTGGGTTGTGTGCATACGATGAACAGTATTGTGTTCAACTACATTTTTGCAACTATTCTAGCTAAACGTTAAATTTTAAAATGCAACCAATATTCCAGATTATCATACCTTTCAAGGTCTAATGTCTTGTTTAATCATGAGGCCTTATTATTATAAAGTTTTCACACTGAATGTTCATACAGTACTCGATATCTTTGCATTAGGTAATGAATTCCCAACTCTCTTGGGAAAACATTTTAATAATTCCTTTATACAAACAGGTATTTATCTAGCAAAATTACCGAATATTATCTAAGAAATCCAATTCCCATTATGTTTTAATCACACATTATAATTCGACTTTTTACCGCTATTTATGCACCATGGCAATATAAATTATAATCTGATATTTTCTTATTTCGTCTCCTGATTATATACTGACTTTTATTGATTACTCGTTGCAGGACAAATGGAAACGAGCTCATCGTGTACCCCCTGAAGTTATGAAAGGTGACAAAACGCCTAAAAATAAATCTGTCGATGTTTTCGGTAGCCGAATAGGACGAGTTCATGTTGGCAAGTCTTCTGAACTAGAGAATTTACGACCTGGATCTACCATCCGAACTGCTCTGACCGGGCATCGAAAACGTGGTTTTGAACGAATAAAATCTGGTGTCAGCAAATCTAAAAAAATATCAGCTCCTAGTGACCTTAGCGTTAGCAAACGGCGTAAACTGTTTACTGATGCTTAACCAAATACACTTTTGCTCTCAAAAGAATAATGTTTCGTTTGATAATACTGTTTATAACGTAGACATCAAAACACTTTAAACTGGCAAAACTTGAAGATGATAAGGGAGTAAAAAAGACGGGAGGCTTAGAACAGTAGCAATTAAAAGATGAGAGATTCCGCTGATTACCGTTCTAAATTATGGAGAGAGCGCTTGTAACTCATATTCTTGTAATTCACATAGAAATAACTATTAAGTGAATTTCGGCTGGCAAACCAAAAATTAAAACAGCTAAACTTTGGCAGTACTAAAAATGCTTCTCAGGTGTTAAAATAATGACAAGTTTTAGACTTGTGGCAAGGGTTAGGAATTAGATGCTTAATTAATTGAACCACTACAAACACACCTTTCACATAAGAGATAAGTAGTCTTCAGAAAGCATATTCGGATTAGGATTCCTCATTGGTTTAGTTGTCAGAAATAATGCCTCTCAAGATATTTAGCACTAAAATATAGAAGTTGAAGATTGCGAGATATAGACTCCGTCCCTTTGGAACGCTAGCCACCTGAATTTGTCTTAGACGCATTTCTGACATTAAATAACGAGTTCACAACCTGTAGTTTTTACTGCTGACCATAAACACTTCAATATAGGTATAACTACTAGGGCTTATTTCTCCAACTTCACTAGTCGCAAACCAATCTTTCTATCTCTTACCTAAGTTTCAGTTTAATGGGGCAAATACATCGTATTGAATATCTGATTTCTCCCCATAGATTGCTGGTCATTTGGTTTAGAGCGAAACGTAAGGTCACAGAAGATTTTGGAATTTGTTCTTGTGTTGTAGTTCAACAGTAAGCAGCAAACAAGCAAAAAATTTAATTCAGAATATTGATAGCAGCACAAGAATAAAACCAGATACTTAGTAGGAAAAGGGTAAATAAAACTAAAGGGCACCGAAGCCAAAGATACGAAAACAGTCTGCCTTGCTGCGTGTAGTTTTGACTGCTTTGTCGCAGACTCCGATCAGGAAGTTGACACTAGATACTGCTTAACCACGGTCAACGACTTCACGGATTTATGCTGTCTTGTTCTGATTTCCTTCCTACCTCTTCCAAATCAGCTAGATGTCTGGGAATAAGCAGTGTCTTGGCACATACATGTCCCAACCACCCAAGTCGACTAACGTCACCAACTGATTCACCATTTCCATATGCCTTCAGCGCTGCTCAATTTGTGATCCCAGCACAAGCAAGCGTAACTTTGGCGGCATTTTTCGATAAGAAATTAACAACTTAGGTGGTGACTGATACTTCCATAGGTCATGTTGCGCATCTGTAGAGTAATACAAAACAGACAACCTGGCTAGTACAATTATCCATGAAACCGGTAGGGGGTCATCTCAACAAAAATCAGCACAGTTATTCCGTTGTTTATACGATGTTTTTTGATTTCTAAACGTATCCTCACGTGGTAATGACCCTGGAGTATTTTCACTGACAGAATATCAGGGGACGGATAAATTTATGATTCTTAATATATTTGAAATAATATCGGGGAACCATCGACATGTGAAATGGGGTTATTTGTTGAGATGTAGATGGTGGTTGGAGGTAGTCAACAGTCCTGTTGACATAGTGCCCGCAGTGTCGAGTCACCTAGACTGATGGCCACATTGCAGCATGATCGATAGCATTCGATCTGCATTAATAAGGAATAGATAAGCATGACATTGATCACCACCCAGTGATCAATCAATTGTGGGGTTATATGTTTCTACTCATTAGAGCGTCTTATGTTATCGACAAGTCGAATACTACCAAATGATGACTAGCAAAAAATACTGGGGGTCTAGGACAATTCAAATTTTATCTTCAAGAATAGAGGAACCTATCTTTCAACTTCTTGTACTGACCAATGATAAGACGTCAATGAAAACTACTGGCCTGCGTCCCGATGACACAACGGATTTATATGGACCATAGTCTGGGTCACAACTTATGAAGTAAATCATGTTGGTAAACCAATAAACGAACCTCCATAGACTAGGGAATCGTTTCTATTTTATGTAGTAGAAGTTAATTGTGGTCAAAGCACTGGTGTACTAGAATTTTGTTGTAGGAGAGCCCCCAGAAGTTTAGGGATGACAAACTTGGTGATAACTGTTATCCAATCTAAGTATTTGTCAAAAACTAGCTGTCCTGTAATCATTACTCATATGTGAAACATAGTTGAAGTGTTCGCCTTCAAAATTTACTTTTATTTGGCATAGGCTCTGTGTAGCCTAGTGTATTTGATATAACTCAAGTGAATGTAAAGTATTATCAGAAACTCATTACACATAGAATTGAGTTCTTACAATCTAAGATAAAAGGATCTTAAATTACTTACTGTGCAAAACCCAGCACTACATTTTGTAGTGCTATAAAGAAACTAAGGTTAAGGGTCATGAGGCTTCAGAGTGCAAAACGCAGTTATCGGAATTCCAAGTGGTATGATTCATTCACAGAATTAAAAGAACCACACATTTATGCTGTCCAACCAATGTCATATTTACCCGATCATCATGACTCCAGCTTCCATATGTAATCTTAAGTCCAAGCTTACTTTCACAGCTAAATCAGAGATCTACTTGCATCACACCCGCTTAGAGCTCGTTTTGCTGACAGACAGATAGGAAAATGCACAACCTATTTGCGTAAAAAGAATATATGTAAGCCGTAGTGTAGTCTTTAGTCAAGGAAAACGCAGTGGAGCATGCATTTAAGCAAGCCAAAACTATCAACTGTCAGAAATATTCCATCGGCATCATTCCGAGACTACACTGAAACTTATCTACAACTGTCAACAAGCACATAAACTACAGCTCCCCTATTAAAAAACACAGCTGAGTCCTTTTATTATTTTCAAATTAGAGTCTAATGTACGTTCGCTTATACTGATCATTCTACGTTTATAAATAGAGGAAGCACAAAAGCTATTCCGAAACTGAACATATTGTTAATCAGACTTATAAACATTTTTGCTAGGTTTTATATTGTCCATGACTGACCAAAAATTGCCTTCTGCGAAATGCTATTTTGAGTACGAAAACAAAATATTCTATGCTTCAAACCAAGCCTTTGAAAAATAGCGCGTGGATGTTCAAACCATTAAAATATATTGTTTATTAGTATAGAGTTGTGGAGATGGTTGAGTTTTAATTGAGATCATGAACCGATCAAAGTTAGACCACCAATGAAAACTTGGAAGCACTGGACTACCGTTTCGTCCTAGTAAGAGACTCATCAGAAGTGCTTTCAGGTTTTCAATCGTGGTCTAGCACTGATCGGTTCATGATCACAATTATATCGTTTAGCACCCGAAACTTAGTTTCACCAAGCATGGAAGAAAATTCACATTATATAATATACAAGTAAACCAAAAGGGTTTTTATTACATGATCGACAATTCAGAAAAAGTAACCGATAAGTAGAAAATAAAGTTAAGAGATGAGACACTGTTAGAAGTAGGAAGGTATTCATATTTATTTTTTACATGAAGTCATCTGAATCATAGCCATCTTCATTTGTCCTCATTTTACTCTCAACAAACAAACGATCGTATGATCTTTTTTCTGCTTCTGCTGCACGGACTTTCTGTGCCTCAAGTTCTGACTTTTTCTTAGCAGCCAGAACAGCTTTTTCTTTGTTTTTAATGCGGATATCTCGCTTTTCTCGTTCACCTCTTAAATCAGGATGTTGGCATTGCTCTTTTGTTTTATTTAGTCGTTTTATTACATCTCCATTGCGTTTTTCAACTACGATCTTTTGCACTGCTTTATTATTGTGAAAGGCTACTTGGCCAACATCCATATCATTGGTTTTTTTCAGGTTCTCCCACTTGGTATATACAACAGTGACATCGTTAAGTTTGCAACCCTATAAAAGTACATGTTTAAAAGTTGTAATATAGACAGAAAGTAGTCATTAAAAAGAAAAAAACACGCTTATAATACTTCAAAATGTCGATATACCCGTCTTAATGAGCTAAAAATGCAAACTCGGGACATTTTTCGCCAGTATACACACTATAAAGGTCTATGAGGAATAAAGAGTTGAATCACTATCACGTTTAGGTGGAGTATTTTAAATGGTTTATCTTTAATATGGCAAAACTACATCTTTCCAAATCATGTTCATCCACTTTACAGTAAGCGGCCTGAGGAAGGATAATTCGAAGAGAACCACAGAAAAAAGAAACATTCCTAACTTTCTTCTCTACCAAACTGAGATAATAGTACAACTTCCATTGTAAAACTTGTCATTTCTGTCAGGTTCAATACCTATAGTGTTCGAACATCATCCACGCTAATAACGTAAAAATAACTACTCAGTAAGCTAAGTCGCTGTCTCACCTTTTTTACACCTTAAATTCTGGTATAGCAGGGATTTCGTGCACCATTATAAGGATATACGTAACATAAAATAATCCACAAGCCACAAGGGGAAATCACCAACAACTGAGTATGCCTGTTAAAAATCCATGTATATATTAATGAGTGTTAATCGAATATGGACCAATTATTGATTACCTGTGACTTTCAACCAATGGGAGAATAGATTACAGATTGATTGATGTGCAGACACGCACAGAAGTTTACATAGTGGATTAAGTGTCTAAATTACAATGAGTAGATAAGTAATACCATAGTTCAATGGGCTTACTAAAACTATACACAATACAATACGCAGTCCACACAGACACACACGCATATGCATAGGCACATTCACATCCACATCCACATGCACTATCAACATCGAATCAGATCACACAGTCACAACACCTGATCGAAACCATCTCATTCTCACTCACTCACTCACTCACTCACTCACTCACTCATCGTCTCACTTAATCACTCATCACCATACATCACAGTAGTACCACACTGTGAGACCATGTTGTCTGTGAATGGGACTAGGTAAGGCACTGTCACTGGTCGGTGTTGTGCATTGCACCAAGTTTTCAAGAGACACGGAACGCTGTGAGAATATGTACAGTGTCACCTGATGGTTATGGTGTGACTCGAGTGATTGTCAACAGTTTTGATGTGGTTGCGACTCGATCCAGCGCCCATTAACACTGCAGCAGCGATCCAACTCCTTACACCACTCAACCACAGGAAAAATGATAAATATGCGCAAAACTTATTTATCAGTTTATAATGACACTACATACGTAACAAGTAACTTCTCTACCAAACTGAGATAATAGTACAACTTCCATTGTAAAACTTGTCATTTCTGTCAGGTTCAATACCTATAGTGTTTGAACATCATCCACGCTAATAACGTAAAAATAACTACTCAGTAAGCTAAGTCGCTGTCTCACCTTTTTTACACCTTAAATTCTGGTATAGCAGGGATTTCGTGCACCATTATAAGGATATACGTAACATAAAGTTCAACCAACCCAGTAGATGAAGTTCGGAAACCCTATTACAATTGTATGCTTAACTTTGAAACTACTTCACTGGTTCCAACATGCGCGGGTAGTGATTTCACGATCATTTTGACCAGATTCTTGTAATGCAAACATAGTTTACCTTCCAAGAAAACACCCTACACTAGTAATGCATTACAGATCGAAACACTGAACAGTACACTTGTTATTGACACTCTTATTTTTTCCACTGACCCTACTCACACTGGTGGTTATGGTGTAACTCGTATGGTGAGTCAAGATCCTACTTAAAAACAACGTCAGACACTTATTCAATAACGTCGTTCGGCAGCAACCACTTTGTCTAACTAAATTTCTTGCTCTCACTCGTAATTCTCCTCCCAACAACAAAAAGCAAAACAAATTTCTAAACGTGCAAACCACACTTCACACTTTCCAATATTAAATACAGGTTAAGCTACAGAGATGGCACCCATGCAATACATTTACATAAAAGGTCCAGTGATACGAAATGCACAAAATCTAATTCATCACTATCAACATTTTTTTCCCCTTAACCTCCATTTATCCCACTCGTATCCACTTTTGTCCTACATCTATTTACACTCTTATTTTTTCCACTGACCCTACTCACACTGGTGGTTATGGTGTAACTCGTATGGTGAGTCAAGTTCCTATGATTTAAAAACTTGTTAAGGTTTGATAAAGGTTCAGAGGCTCTGAATTCATAATGCATATTATATAGAAACTCGTCCATAGGGTTAGTGGTTAGGGTTGTAGCCTGTAAGTAGAAACATCTTCTCTAAAATCCGATGTAAACCGATCGCATGTTAGCACCCTAATCTTAACCTAACCTTAAATCCTAAACTAACCCTAAGCACACCTAACCCTAAACCCTAATCTAACCCTAATCTTAAACTAACCCTAACCTTAGCCCTAAACCCTAATCTAACCCCAACCTTAACCTAAATCCTAATCTAACCCTAACCTTAGCCCTAAACCCTAATATAACCCTAACCTTAACCTAACCCTAACCTAACCTTAATCTAACCCTAACCTTAACATAACCCTAACCTTAGCCCTAAACCCTAATCTAACCCTAACCTTAGCCCTAAACCCTAATCTAACCCTAACCAAACCTAACCATAACCCCAAACCCTAATCTAACCCAAAAACCCTAACCTTAGCCCTAAACCCTAATCTAACCCTAACCAAACCTAACCATAACCCCAAACCCTAATCTAACCTAAAAACCCTAACCTTAGCTCTAAACCCTAATCTAACCCTAACCTTAACCTAACCCTAATCTAACCCTAACCTTAAAATAACCCTTAACACTAACCTTAGCCCTAAACCCTAATCTAACCCTAAACCCTAACCTTAACCTAACCCTAAATCCTAATCTAACCCTAACCCTTGCCCTAAACCCTAAACCCTAATCTAACCCTAAACCCTAACCTTAACCTAACCGTTAACCCTAATTTTAACCCCAAACCCTAACCCTATGGACGAGTTTCTATACAATATGCATTATGAATTCAGAACTTCTGAACCTTTATCAAACCTCAACAAGTTTTTAAATCATGTAAAAGAAGAATATCCACTGTAATTCATTACTTTCTTGTAATATATTTTTATTTATACTGTCTTCTGATTGGCTAATAATTGAAATTGCTCAAACGCTTCTCATTGGCTCGTCCCTAAATTATAGTTTCGCCGTCCCATCTGTTGTAGCCTCTCATTAATCACCTACTCTCTAAAATCCGTTATGAACCGATCGTATGTTAGCAGCGCGTGTTGAACTTGGCTCCGTGAACTTGAAATTGCTCAAACGCTTCTGATTGTCTCGTCCATAAATTAGTGTCTCGCCTCCTACATCTATTTACAACAACAAAAAGCAAAACAAATTTATAAACGTGCAAACCACACTTCACACTTTACAACATTAAATACAGGTTAAGCTACAGAGATGGCACCCATGCAATACATTTACATAAAAGGTCCAGTGATACGAAATGCACAAAAACTAACTCATCACTATCAACATTTTTTTTCCCTTTAACCTCCATTTATCCCACTCGTATCCACTTTTGTCCTACATCTATTTACACTCTTATTTTTTTCCACTAACCCTGCTCACGCTGATTTATCACCCGTCGTCTCTAGTTAAAGGATTCGAGGTCGCAGAATGTTATCCGCGATTACTTGTTGCTACACTCGAAACTGCATGATGTAGCTTTTAACGCCCGAATACTGAACCAAATTCGACAACAGATTTCCTTAGCTATGACCTTAGAATATCGCACCGTCTTTGTATACTTCGTCACCGAAACGCGCATAGAGGATCTGAGTGGTTTCCGTTATTTGAACTCACCATATCAAGATAAAGAAGCATCTGGATTCATACTTTGAGTTTCTAGAAGCCGTTGTGCTGCTCCACATTGTCTTGCTGTTGTATGCATAGCATTAAGTCCTTGGGCAGAACTAGCTCTCTTAGACTGGATCACAGTAGACAGTCGTCTGTGCGCTGTCCAACTAAACGGAACAGTAAGGACTCGGAAAGATAGGGACACTCGTCGTTGCCTCTTCGTCATCTCTGCCTATTCTCCCACTAACTGCAGCTCAGATCATGTAAAAGATGAGTTTTGCGGAAAGATTTCTGGCCTACTCCAAAACGTTAGGCGCTGTGATGTAGTAATAGTGGCTCATCACTTTAATGCTCAATTAGCTGAACTAAGCGAAATGGAGAGACACATGGGTGGATCTGATGGTGTTATGACACAGAGAACAGATAATCACATTTGATATTTGATTAGCCGGAAAATATAATAAACTGAAAAAGAAAAAAAGAAGTGATTTCCAGTTTATCATGACACTCCATACGTAACAAGTAACTTCTCTACCAAACTGAGATAATAGTACAACTTCCATTGTAAAACTTGTCATTTCTGTCAGGTTCAATACCTATAGTGTTTGAACATCATCCACGCTAATAACGTAAAAATAACTACTCAGTAAGCTAAGTCGCTGTCTCACCTTTTTTACACCTTAAATTCTGGTATAGCAGGGATTTCGTGCACCATTATAAGGATATACGTAACATAAAGTTCAACCAACCCAGTAGATGAAGTTCGGAAACCCTATTACAATTGTATGCTTAACTTTGAAACTACTTCACTGGTTCCAACATGCGCGGGTAGTGATTTCACGATCATTTTGACCAGATTCTTGTAATGCAAACATAGTTTACCTTCCAAGAAAACACCCTACACTAGTAATGCATTACAGATCGAAACACTGAACAGTACACTTGTTATTGACACTCTTATTTTTTTCCACTGACCCTACTCACACTGGTGGTTATGGTGTAACTCGTATGGTGAGTCAAGATCCTATTTAAAAACAACGTCAGACACTTATTCAATAACGTCGTTCGGCAGCAACCACTTTGTCTAACTAAATTTCTTGCTCTCACTCGTAATTCTCCTCCCAACAACAAAAAGCAAAACAAATTTCTAAACGTGCAAACCACAGTTCACAATTTACAACACTAAATACAGGTTAAGCTACAGAGATGGCACCCATGCAATACATTTACATAAAAGGTCCAGTGATACGAAATGCACAAAAACCTAATTCATCACTATCAACATTTTTTTCCCCTTAACCTCCATTTATCCCACTCGTATCCACTTTTGTCCTACATCTATTTACACTCTTATTTTTTCCACTGACCCTACTCACACTGGTGGTTATGGTGTAACTCGTATGGTGAGTCAAGTTCCTATGATTTAAAAACTTGTTAAGGTTTGATAAAGGTTCAGAGGCTCTGAAT